TTTGGTAAGCAAACATGGAATCAATCACATGTCCAATTCTTCAGCAAGTCTGTTCTGCTTTCTGCTTTACCATAAAAGAGAATTCCAAATGAGTCCTTTTCTTTCCAGCTTCACTCGTGCGTTGTAGTCCAAGCCACCWTCCAAAGTTGGCAAAAATGGACTGGGAATGTAGTTCATTGATAGAGCACTTGCCTGCCRTGTTAAAGACTCTGGAACAGATCCTAGAACACAAGAATGAAGTTATCAAACTTTCRCACAGTAGTTTCTCTGTCTCTAACCTATCCTTCGATTCTCCACTTAGTATATAGAATTATTCKGTTGAAGTGTAACTTGGACCCCATCCCTGCCTAAAACACCCCTATAGCTTTTTTTGATCTCTTAGAACACAATCCAGACTCCCTGACATAGCCTTTAGGGAACCACATGACATTGCTCCTGTCAAATCTCTACCTTATTTCAGACCCCCACTCATCTTGTACTGGCCCCTTGACCTCCATTTGTAGCTCAACCTTGTTAAACTCATGCCCCATGTGGACTTATTTTCCTAGTGGAAGAAAATGCATTGATCTGTGAACACAAGTATATGATTTGTCTGCTACAGTTTTCATCGTACATCAACAAATTGGCATTCTGATGTGTACAACCATCTCTTACGAGTCAACTTAGTGTGAATTTACAAATGAGATTGTTTTTCTAAACTCACAGAGCTAAGAGACAGACTCATAAGATYGTCTGTCTATTCCACTAAAATACTACTGCCCCTGACTGACCTATATGTTACTTTACCTTTACTGTACTCAATAAATWAATATACACACTACTACAGCTTTACTGTATCTATACAACCATCTATCAGTTCATCATTATCTTTCCCATAGGATGTATGAAGTGTCCTGGGGGAGGGGTGGCAGTGCCTCTTCTGGAGGAAGAGTTGACAATGGCAYTGGCCCTCATTTCTTCACTTACCATGTCTTGGGATTTATTGTCATTCATCATGCTTGGCTAAATGGATTTATAGACAAGTAACTAATTCTCACAAAATGGAAACATGTAGATTCCTGCAAAGAACTAGAAGAGAGCTCCTACTAAATCTGTAAGCACAAATAAAGAAAAAAAGAAAAGGACAGAGCTGACATTTTTCAGACTTCTAGTGCCTCATCACAGTCATTGAGGTGTAAAGATAATGATGTTCTAGTATGATCTGACAGGGTCATCCTAATGTGGAAAATTTTCAGGATTACTTACAATATGAATTTGTACCCAGTATTATTTACAATTAACTTTGACCTACATGTGCATTTTCCTTGAGATTGGCTAATGATTGAATGAAACTATCACAATTAATATGACAGTTAAAAATGTTTTTGTTTTTAAATTTCTATTTTGTGATTATTACTAATGCACTTTATATACTAGCATACTAATATTAAAATATAATAATTATGATATAATACTATTCTATGTGTATTATATTAATGTGCATTAGTATTTTTGTGTGTGTCTGTGAATGCTGAAAAAAATATTTAATGATACAATCAAAAAGACTTTAAGGACCACTAAATTAAGAGATGGCATTTGGAAGAAATCTTCATTATCATGATTATCAAGTGATCAAAGGCTACTCTCCTTATTTAATAATATCCTTTTGTATGACATAAAGATTGTACTTTAAACTGAGTTATTAATAACCACTCCCATCTAGAGCACCAGGGCTTTACAACTGTGGGAAATCTGGGAGTAGCCCCCAGTGGTGACTCTAGAGATAGACTGCATAGCTCAATCTCTGCTTCAGTCATAACTACAACCTGGGCAAGTTAGTTAATTTACTTTGTCTCAGTTTCATTGGTTATAAAATGAGGATAATATTAGCATAGCATAATTTTGCRTAGGGCTATTTTGAGGATTAAATGAGCTGATGAAAGAATTTAGRCGAGATCATGCTTTTAGTTAGTGCTCAATGCTGGGTGTGGTGGTGCATCCCTGTAATTCCAGCAATTGTGGAGGCTGAGGCAGGAGGATCCCAAGTTCAAAGCCAGACTAGGCAACTTAATAAGATCCTGTCTTGAAATAAAAAATAAAAAAGGCTGGAGATGTAGTTCAGTGGTAGAGTATCCCTGAGTTCAATCCCTAGTGCCACACACACAAATGAGAATAATAAAGATTAAAAAATAAGTGCTTGGCGAATGATAATATTAATCTGGCTTTAGTTACGTTTGAGAAAACAAACACAAAAATAAAACTAACCTTGCTACCTCTGCCCCTTGCTGGTCAACATGAATCAGTACAGTACACTCTACATGGGTTAGCTAAATAAATGTTTGAGGTAAGAAAAGATTTTTAGTGTTGAATAAAACATCAATGCTTAACTTTAGATTTTTTTTTTTTGCAAAATAGTATTGAGAAAAATCAACTGCTGTGAAATTAAGCAATTAGCAAGAAGTACAGAGCAAGAAATTAAATCTTTTAAAATAAATAATACATTCTAGATGTTCAAAAGCAATTTTAAAAGCAGGACATTTTAAATGACAGTGTTCCAAAAGCAGAGACCTTGATAATTTCTGGTGAAATAGAGCATGATTTGCCAAGAAAAGCAATTTTCTCCCTGAAATAACCAAATACATGTTTCAAGATTTGACTTGATATCTGAAGGTAGAAGAAGATATGAATCTTCAGATTTGCAGATTATACAATTATAATGTTATTGCTTATTAAGGGTACACTATAAGCCATGTGCTTTCAATATATCACCTATTTTCATTTCTTTTTAACATGAATATGTTTGGACATAAGAAAAAAAATAATATAGTGAACATCCATATACACGTCACTCCATTTAACACTTTTTAAAAATTTTTTTTTAGTTGTCAGTGGATTATTTATTTATTTATATGTGGTGCTGAGGATCAAATCCAGGGCTTCACACATGCCAAGCAAGCACTTTACCACTGAGCCACAACTCCAGCCCCAATTTAACAGTTTATATTTTTATTTTTATGAATTATTTTAAAATGTTTCATTCTGAATATGTCAGTATGCATGCTTAAAATAGACATTTTTCTACATAAGACAACATTATCACACATAATAACAATTGTCTGGTATCATCCAATACCCAGTTCAAATGGAAATATCTTCCCTTGTCCCCCAAATATCTTTTCTTTCTGCTTTGTTAAACCAGAAACAACCAAGGATTCACTGTTGTGTTTGCTTAGTTTCTTAAATCTTTTATAAAGCATGACAGCTTGTTCTCAGCCTTGCCTTTTTAAATTTTTACTGTTTATGGCACTAGGATTGAACCCGGGGGGTGCTCTACCACTGAGCTACATCCTCAGTCACTTTTTACATTTTGATACAGGGTCTCACCAAGTTGCCCAGGCTGGCCTTGAATTTCAGTCCCTCCTGCCTTGGCATCAACTCACTGGGATTACCCCTATCAGCCACCATGACCATGACTTAAAGAGTCAATAGGGTGTCCTATCATTTGTTCTTGGTTTTCCTGATTGTTTTGCATTTGGTGTTATTTGATTCTTCTATGCTGGTAGTTCCTGAGACAGAAAGATGGATGTTAAAGGCTTGATTATGCAGAGGTTAAAGATCTTTGGAAATGATATTTCATGGATGATGCTGGAGCTTCATATTGCAACACATCAGAAAACATAATGGTAGGCTGGTCCACTGTTAGTGATCTGATTGATCTGGGATAAGGTAGGAGGGACCAGATTTCTCCACAGTTGGTTGTTTTTCCAGAGATAATTTGGCACCGTGTAAATATCCCACTCCCTATGGCCCTTCACCAAATGGTTTCGTTGATGACCCTAGCATGAATCAGTTATTTCCTAATAACAATTTTCTATCAATTCTTTTAACTTAGCAGGTTTCTAAAGAGAACTTCTCCTTCATCAAGTGGCGCTATTTGGTTACCCTGAAAAACAGCTGCTACTGGAAAGGCAGATTAAATGTTTATTTTCTYAAATTACCACTTTTCAGATTAAGAATTGGTTTAATAGTGACTATTACAAATTTCAATAAGGATTGTTCCCTGCCTCCTTAATTTGGCTTACTTTTTCAGGGAAAGTGACTTCTGGACATTTAATTTTTTAAATCATTTTACAGTTTGTTGTGGTTATCTTTGATGCTCACTTGTTTAGTTTTGGCCAGTGGGTTGTCCTTTTGAAAGGACTTCTTTTTTTCTTCTTTTCTGCTAAATGTTCCAAGCGTTACTTAACCATTCTCAGCTTCCAAACTGACGTCCGTCATTTCTCCAGGAGCCCCTTTTAACCATGAGTGGTATTCAGAAACCAACATCCGGGCGCTAGGGATAGTCATTACTTCTGGGTCTGAGTTCATATTCTTCATTTTCCCCCCCCACTTCAAAATTAACACAAGTTTTTACTTGAGACAACTTATTTTATGATCCCTATTTTAAAAGGTTACATGGCTAGTAAAGGGCAGCCTCGGGATTTGAACCCAGGCGTTCTTCCTCCAGGAAGGGAGCACCGCATTCAGAGGGCCTTCTTCAGGTGGCAGAGGGTCCTTAGAAAAGGTGTCAGGTTGATGATCAGGGCCGGGTGCGGGAAGCCGCGGGATGAACAGAAAGGTCCCGCGGACTCCAGGAGGACAGTCCGGAGCAAGCTGCCGGGCGAAGGAGCCATCGGGGAGCACCCAGGGCCGCCGTTTCGACTGGATCTGACCAGCGCTCCCCACAGTGCAGAGCCGCTAGGTGGGTCGCTAGGTGGGAAACGGGTTGCGCGCCGCGACCYTCAGCGGGCGCCACTTGCAATAAACTCCCGCCAATCAGAAGGAGCCTTGAGTAGGGGTCGGGACCATCAGAGGAGCGCATCCAATGAGGAGTCAGCTTCSGGTCGCCTCAGGAGAAAACATTTCAGAGTCCCCGCGGAGGGCGGAGAGGGAGTGGTAGAGTTTGGCCAATCACAGGGAGCGACTCACGTAGGCGGTACGGCAGCCAATCAGAAGAGAGCTCGCTCCGCCGCTCTCGGCACAMGCTTGGAGTCTTCCCCAGCCCCTGGGGGCCAGCGCTTCGGAGACCGGCTTCGGGTCGTTGGCAGCAGCGCCAGGTTCCTGCGGGCTTCTTGCACTCCTGCTTTCCGTCCCCCCGCCCAGGACGGTGCAGGCGTCTGGTGAGATATGGCTAGCTCGTGTTGCGAGGAAGGCGTGGGCCAGGAGGAGGAGAGTTTTCTGTACTTTGCCTATGGCAGCAACCTACTGACGGAGAGGATCCACCACCGAAACCCCTCGGCCACGTTCTGCTGCGTGGCCCGCCTGCAGGTCAGTGGTCCATCCTACCYCTGCGACGGCGGGCGGGTGGTGCACACGGCGGGACCAGGGCTCCCCGAAGGCGCGTCCTCAGGGGTATGCCTGGGCAAAATGGGCCAGGAATGCAGTTCACTCAGAGGCGTGGAAGTCCGGATTTGGGGGGGCTCTGGATCCCGCCTTCACTGCTTTCACGGCCCTGTGCTTGACCCCCGTTAGACTGTGTACCCYTGCAGCAGCATCCTCTCAAGCTGCCCTGAGCTTTCTCCCTCTTGACGTTTCCACTACTGCTGTTCACTGCATAGCTTTGGCCCCTTCTGTCTTCTCCACTTAGGGACATCCTCATAGAGCTCATTCAGTTAATACTTTACAGAAGCCTTCTCTGACCCGAGACAGAGAATTAGTTGTTTTGTTACATGGTGTTGTAAAAATCTATTTACCTGTTTTTCTCTCCTGATCTAGGAGGTCCTGAAAGTTGGAACCCTGTCTTCATACTAACAGCTGTGTTCAGTTAGGTCAAGTGACTGGATGAACTTTAACCAACCTTGGTAAATCATTGTTCTTCAAAGGACCTTAGGAGACAGTACATTTCATTCATTCAGCACCTGTTCTTCTGGCACTGAACGCTGAGGATACAAAGATAATTGAGTAATACAAAGATAATTGAGTAATGTTACTGCTTTGAGGACCTCCTGATCTATAGGAGACAGGTGCATATTATGTGCAAAACATTTTTGACAGTGTTGAGCTAAACAAGCATGATCTTTGCTAACCTCGTCAGAGTTCTTAGTTGCAAGCAACAGAAATAGGCTGATTTAAGCAAAAAAAAAAAAGAGAGAGAAAAAAAAGTGTTGAAAGGCTGCTGGAGAGCTCACAGAATGACTAGAAAGGCAGGAGTACAAAGCTGACAAAAGAGACAGACATAAAGGGAGGTGCGGCCCCCTCTGATAGACAACAGAACCAGCGCAGGCAGCCACTGTTGCGCCTTTGCTGAACTTGTAAATATGGATGCTGTGTGTTGCATCACCACCTGCGCGGTACCCAACCACTGTACTGCAACCCAGAATTTCCCAAAACTCACACCACTAGGGTGGAGTCCCTGTCCACCCTGAATGTTAGCTTCTAATTCAAAGCCCCAGGTTGGTGTCCTGATTGGCTTAAGTCTTGGCTGCAGATCTGTGACTGACCACCTTACTTTTGAAGCTTCAAAAGTGGTATTCAGTCTTTGGTACCTCATACCCCAAACTCATAAAATATGGAACATCTCAAATGTGGAAAGAGAGTTCAAATGCTATAGTCAGAGCAGGAGGAAGTAATATTAAGGAAGAGCTATTCAGTTACGAGTATGATCAGTCTTAAGAAGGAGATATTCAGGGCTGGGGGTGTAGGTCTGTGGTAGTGTGCTTGCCTAACATGCATGAGGCCCTGGGTTCAATCTCCAGCAGCACATATACACACACATGCARACTTTCAAGGTCTAACAGAMTATATAACCAGAGGACCTGTCCTACCCAGGATGTTCAGGAAAGCCCTCCCTTTTTAAATATGTGACTTTTAAGCTAAGGCCTAAATGATTGGGGAGGTGGAGAGAAAATAGAAGAACATGTACAAAGGACCTGAGGAAAGAAGAAGTATGGGACTAGAGGAATAGGAAAGGACAACATCCTAACAGGACCACAGAGGCCTAATAAGATTTTGGACTGTATCTCAAAAGCAATGAGAAGACCCATTGCAGAATGGAAGCAAATGAAAGATCATATTTACATCTTTGAAAGTTCATCCTGGTCACTATGGAAAATGAGTTTAAAGGGGGATAAGAGTGGAAGGTCAGGAAGTTTTTACATTAGTTCATGCCAAAGATACCAAATGCCACCTTGAATGGATTTGAATAGATTAGAGGGATATTTGGGAGATAAGGTTGTTGACGCTTGGTGATTGAGTCTGAAGACTGTGATATCAAGTAGGACTTGAGTTTTTGCACAAGACCAATGTTGATGATGACAGAGGGAAGAGGAAAATCAAGTTTGGGAGGGAAAAATCTGAACATGCTGAGTTTGAAATGCTTGTCCCAAAGCCAAGTGAACAGAAAAGTACTAGTGGACATCGGTTATCTACATACTATGTACCAGGCCCKGTTCTAAGCACTTTTGAAGCTCAGAGGTGGGCTGGGTTTAAAGATAATCAGTTTATCAGTATGAAAGTCTAATCATTCTGATGGCATTTGAAGCCACTGGAGGTGATGAGATTGTCTTGGGCAGGTTGCTGAATGGATAGAGAAAAGGGCCTATACTGAACCTTGAGAAACCCCAGGGTAGTCAGGGAGGAGTTGGCAAAGGGAATTGAAGAGAGTAAGGAATAGCCTGAAAATGAGAATAGAAGGCAGACAGKTGAGGGTGGTTAGCTATGTCACAAGCAGCTGAGAAGTAGAGCAAGATGAGAAATGAGAATGGTCCATTGGATTTAGCAATAGACGACCAATTCCTGGTGTGGGTTGTAATTTTCATCAGATCTCTGATTACCTGTCAGGGATACTTTGCACTGGAACACCCATTATGGCAATTGAAGGTACTGGTCACTTGAACCATCCTTTTTTTCTGAAATGTGTGACACAGTTTTTGAGAAAATAGGCTACAGGGATAAACTATAAATGTGGAAAGGACCTTAGGTTATTATCTATTCCAAYCTCTTTCACTTTACTATTAAGGGAATGAATCGCTGAAGAGATGGAAAGAAATCTTCTTAGACYAAACAAGTCAAGTTAGAATTTTCAGTCTTCCCCAGGACTTATCCCCTGATGGCTCATCTCTGATGGAAGCATCTAAACTAGAACCGTGGCTCCATTGCTTATTAGTTGTGAGACCTTAGGCAAGTTGCCTAGTCTTTCTCAGCCAGTTTGTCTTGTTGTAAAATAAGTATAAATAAAGTTTCTGTGGGACAAAAGGAGATGGTCCACATAAAGCTCAGAATATAGTTTATAGTGCCCAATAACTTTCCAGGGTTAACTGCTCCTATGATTTTTGTGGATAAATAAGTACACTTCATGAATATTAGAGTAATGGTCTTGTATACAAATCWCCCTCACATGCCAGTTCCCTTAGGATAAATAGAGTGATATAGGCTGGTAGGATACTCTGCAGACATCAAAGTATAACCCCCATGTAGCCATCAGCCTGTTTCTAAGTAAAATTATATATGTGCATGTAAGTAAACTGGGGAGTAATTTGCAAGCAGGTTGTGTTAAGGTAGTGGGGCTATGAGGTTTTTTTCTTAAGTCTTTTTTTTTCTTTTTTGCATGCAAGATGCCTGTACTTATTCAGCATGTTTCATTTTTTTATGGAAAATATGAAAAAAACATAGTTCTTCAGATCTGTGTCTTTGTGTGTTAATCTCTGTATTTTCCACAGCTGCTTTTATATAGAAGGAACTTAAAGCTTATTGAATGCTTTAATTGCATAGAGTTCAAGGTAAATCGTTTTTATTTTGAGAAGGGAAATGGGGGTTCAAGTGGATATTGATTATATCACTTTGGTTTCCTTTGCAGGATTTTAAACTTGACTTTGGCAATTTCCAAGGCAAAACAAGTCAGAGGTGGCATGGAGGTATAGCTACCGTTTTTCAAAGTCCTGGCGATGAAGTGTGGGGAGTAGTATGGAAAATGAACAAAAGCAATTTAAGTTCTTTGGATGAGTAGGTGACTTCTAATTATAAGTTTAAAATAACTGATTCAGAAGTGAACTGTGTGTAAGCATGTGTATTTGTGTGTTAGTTTTCAAAACCATATTCTACAAATGTATTCTTTACACTTAGAACCAACATAAAAGGTATAATAGTGAGTTTTAAAGAGTGACATTTCTGTTGAGATTTGGGGTGATGTTTGTAATCTCTTATGTAGAAATTTTTTATAAAAATTTATGTTTGTAGTTTCAGATTGTGAAAAGGCATAAAGACTTTTGTAATTGTTACCTATTTTATTGATTTTTTGAAAGCAAGTAGATTCGGTTTTTGAAAGTATTTTTTTAAAGAGAGTGAGAGAGGAGAGAGAGAGAGAGAATTTTTTTTAATATTTATTTTTTTTTAGTTCTCGGCAGACACAACATCTTTGTTTGTATGTGGTGCTGAGGATCGAACCYGGGCCGCACGCATGCCAGGCGAGCGCGCTACCGCTTGAGCCACATCCCCAGCCCTAGATTCGGTTTTTGAAGAACAATTCTTGAAGATGWGTCAGTTGAGTCAGTCAGTAATAGCAATTTGTGAAAGCATCTAACAGCATATTAGAAATTTGATACTTGTTATAATAAGAACTCTCAGAGTTGTATGGCAGAGCATTTAAAAGAATTTTTTTTAGTTGTAGATGGACACAATACCTTTATTTTATGTATTCATTTTTATGTAGTGCTAAGGATCAAACCCAGTGCCTCACACATGTGAGGCAAGCACTCTACCACTCCAGCCCTGGCAGAGCAAATACAAAGAGAATGAGTCAAAAGAGTGGACCTTGAGAAGAACATGTTATCTGACATGCTTGATACTGTAACTCACATAAGAACCAGCCAYACTCCCTCTGCTCTTCTCTGAATGGATATTCTGCTGTCAGAAAACTTCAGTTAATTTTTTGTAGCCTAGACAACCATGTTTCAGGAGTTTAAAAATGGAAATAGGTACATCTAAGCAAATATTCTAAGATGATTACCACAGATCTGTTGGAAGTGTGCCACCTGCAGTTGTTCTTAGGCGACTTGTARGGATAGGTTCCAGGATTCCTGAGGATTCCAAAATCAAAGAATGTTCAAGTCGCTTATAAAAACTGGTGGAGTATGTGCATACAATCTATGCACATCTTCTGTATAATTTAAATCAACTGCAGATTACTTATAATACCTAATACAATGTAAATGCTATGTAAGTAGTTTTTAATACTATTTTTTATGAAATGACAAGAAAAAAAGTCTGTGTATATTTAGTTCAGACCCAATTTAAAAATATATATATTTTCAATCTGGGGTTGGTTGAATCTGGATGCAGAACCCATGGATACATTGGGCCAACTTATAATATTAAGTCTCAGGCTTTCTAATTGAAACACTAAACTCCTTTYGATGTGGTGGTAGTTATATGTACCACTATATTTCTAACAACATAGGGAGCAACTACATCTGTATAGTTAAGTTGTTAATACTGTATCTGACTTGATTAAAAGTCCTAAATTGCCTGTGTCACATGTGGTTGAAATTTCACTCTTCTGGTTTCAGGCAAGAAGGRGTTAAAAGTGGAATATATGTTGTAATAGAAGTGAAAGTTTCAACTCAAGAAGGGAAAGAAGTAACCTGTCGAAGCTATCTGATGACAAATTATGAGCCTGCTCCCCCATCTCCACAATATAAAAAGGTAAGCTACTTGGACTTTTGGTGAATCCTTTGTGATTTTCACTGAAATAAACTACAGAATATCTTGGGTTTTTTTTTTTTTTAAGGTTTTGTGTGTTTACAAAAATGATGGGCAAATTTTAGAATATGGTGCATATTTATGTGTAATGATAGAACTGTTTCTGAAACTGTTCATTAAAAAAAGCCTTTATAAATTTATATAAGTCATAATTCTAGACATGTATTTTCTTTTTTAAAGTAGAAAAGCATATGAATTTTGGGGGGTTGTTTGTTTTTTTTTTCCTTTTTATGGCACTGGGTTCTAAATCCAGAGTGGTGCTCTGCCACTGTGCTACATCCTAGCACTTTTAATTTTTTGAGACAGCTAAGTTGCTGAAGCTGGCCTTGAACTTGCAGTCCTTATGCCTCAGCTTCCTGAGTATCTGGGATTACAGGTGGTCACCACTGTGCCCGGCTTTTGAGGGTATTTTTATTTTATTTTATTTCTTTAGTTTATATTTTTTTAATATACTTTTAGTTATTGATGGACCTTTATTCATTTGTTTATGTGTGGTGCTGAGAATTGAACCCAATGCCTAGGTGCTCCACCATGGAGCCATAACCCCAGCCCAATGAGTATATTTTTAATAGATTTATTTTATACATGGTTTTTATAATTTTTTTTCTTTCCCCTTCACAAAACAGTGTTTCATGAACACCAGKATTCATTTTTCTGGGGGAAAAACATATTCCCTAATGCTGAACTGTTTTTCAACCCTAGATRGAAAAAGAAAAGTCACTGGGCCTTTTAAAATCAGAGAAATCACATAAGACAAGAATGTGGGGCAGAGACCCTGACATGCCTTTTTAGAAACCCAAGTTTAAGTGCTTACTGGCAAGGTCAATTAGAACACGGCACTGTGGAGGGTTAACATAGTTCCCAGACCTAGTCAGGAATGTTCTAGTGTGGATCCTAGAGTTATTATGGATCTTGGTATGGATCTTGTTATGGATCTTGAAAGTTCCACTGGACAGTTGCCTTTCAATTCAAAGCAAGAGTAGACAACGGGATTAAAACGAAAGCTTTATATATATATATTTTTTTTTTAGAATTTTTTTTCTTAAAAGGTTATATAAATAAACTTTTTGTCTTAATATAAAAATATGTTAAATCCTGTTATTGCATAAAATTGACATTCTGCAAAGATGACTCAAACAGCTTTGAAAACTCCCTATTCATTCCTACTGTGTAAGAGAAATGGTTATATCTCAGTTTTGTTCTGTAATTATTCTGTAGTTACTTGAAAGCTAATATCTCAGACTTTTACAATACAAATGAAGGTGTAGTCTGCTAAATTAAAATGATATTCCTAACTAAAAAYCATTTATTTATTTATTTTAACCATTTCTAGGTTATTTGCATGGGTGCRAAAGAAAATGGTTTGCCACTGGAGTATCAAGAGAGATTAAAAGCAATAGAACCAAATGACTATAAAGGAAAGGTCTCAGAAGAAATGGAAGACATTATCAAAAAGGAGGAACAAAAACTCTTTAGAACATAACAGTATATCTAAGAATATTTTATGTACTAATATAAAATATTTGTAACATTTAAGAACAGGGATCTGGGATATCACTGTGTCTCATCTGTTTTCACCAATGTTTGGAAGGGGTACCTCACTTGAGTGATTCTATATTTTCAGACTATAAAAAGCAGCTGGGTTAAGAGTTAGACAAAAAGGGACTATGCAATTCTGGAGTGACAAGTAGATGTGGGTACTCCTGTGGACACTTAAAGCTGTTGTCTTGGGTTGATCTTAAGTGTCCTCTTGCTCTGTGACAAGAATAGATTTACATTCTGCTCAGTGATGGTGCTGGGGAATTGATCTGCTCTGTCTGGGCTTTTAAAAAAAAATCAGTTTAATCAGAGTAAGCAAACTAATGGCAAGTTGATAATAAAATTTTGGAAACTAGAAAGATGGGACACCGTCCTAAGAGGAATAAATGTAGTAGTGGTTTAACCCGTTTTCCCTACCAAAGCACTCCTTTCCATTGTGCTGTTAGACAAATCATCATACGTGCTGGAGCCAGTCTTGGCCATGTGGAGTCTATATGCATGGAGAAGTGCACAGACTCTGGAGCCAAGCAGCCTGGTTCAGTGATCAGTCCCACCACTTTCTAGCTATGAGACTTTAGGTTATTTGATGCTTTGTGACTTACCCATAGAGTAAAGAGTTTCCTCACCCACAGGGTAAGGATAATCAATATTTCAGGATTGTTTGGAGGGACAAGTAAAAACATGTAATAAATTTAGGTCAAAGCCTGGTGATAAATATTAACAGTCATTATTGTCCTCATTTAAATAATTCAGTTTGTACATGGCCATTCTTGGAACAGGATTTTAAAATAGAAGAGTCAGGATTATGAAAGAAGGAATGTTTCAGGGGTAGTTACCATTTGAGTCTTGGCTTATCAAGAAACAGTTAACATTGAAAAAATAAATGGTAACATCACTAAACTTATTTACTGAATAAATAAGGAAAGAAGACTCTCAAATTAAGCGATATTGATTATCAGAAACTCATGTCTGTGTGGTGGGCAGTGAGCTGTCCTTTCACAYTTGAATGGGAATGAACTGGGCACAGGAACATAAAATAAAATGTGATTTGTCCTCTTGAGGTAAGGCCCAAATCACCTTCAGGTTGCAGCAGTTATTCTGTAGTGAGCTTGAGCTGTAGACCACAGATAGAYGCGATTCATAACTGTCATACCTCATGGTTTTTCATATACCCTCCAGTATTGTGGTTTAACTTCTCCCCAGAAGACCAAGTTTGTCAGCAACCCAGAAACCAGTGACGGTAATGTGGTGAGCAAGGCTCAATTTTGCTACARATACTAAGACCTGAATATTACTCTAATAATCTGTCTCACCAAAGATAGCACCTTCCACTAAGGATTCACTATGCTAACACCAAGACCTTCATGTCTGGYCTTTTAATGAAAATCTGATACTCATGAGGCACACTTTTTCCAGTTATTTTCAAGGTAACACCAAATGTCATATGTTGGATTTCCCTTTCTACCAGAGACTTTTGACCCTCTAACCACAAAATAACCAGATCCTGGATAAGCCATAGTTTTGAAAAGGGTTTCTGGGGTTGTAAGAAAATATAGGCTATCTTCAAGGTGGACCAGTCCCTTCCCCACAAAAAGAAAGAAGGAAGATGAACTCTGAGTTGAAAGAACAGAGTATACTGAAGTGACCCTGATGTCCTGGGATTCAAATGCCAAAGGCAGCTCCAGAATTGGACTACAGCTCCGGAGCACTCCTGCCAATGGACAGGAAAACAATCTGAGAAACCAGGACCCTTGAGGAGGAACTACTATGGTCCCCAGGTGATAGCTGCAGTGCCTCCTGCAAGTAAAAGCAGAAAAAAACCCAGATTTGTTTAAAAATCAAATTTTAAAAAATCCACAAGATTTTAAGGTATTATCAAAAACAGAGGCGGGGGTTGTGGCTCAAAGGTAGCAAGCTCACCTAGCATGTGGGAGGTGCTGGGTTCAATCCTCAGCACCACATAAAAATAAATAAATAAAATTAAGGTATTGTGTCCAACTACAACTGAAAAAAAATCAGGAAAACAGTAAAATATGTAGGGAGACTTTGAGTTCTGGGATGAAGTAGAGATACGGTTCCATATTTCACTAGTTAAATGCAACTAAAATCTGTGAATATAAAATATAATGGGAAGACCCTAAAAAGTGGAGAGAAGGCAGAGTCCTAGCTAGGGACCTCAGGCAAGACACAGTGTGGTGCTGAATTCCCTCATATGTCACAGACTTGGGTTTGAAAAAGTGACCCAAAAGTACTATGTGAACACACATGACAGGAAAAACCTGCTATCTCTAGGCAGAGGCCCAAGAGAGAGACAACCTAATAAGACAACTTAGAGAATAAGCATTCTAACTGCAKTTATCACAGAAGAAAAATGTGGGCTCCCACCTTCATCTCTGCCAGCAGAGGCCAAGCAGGGAGCTTAGATTTCCATACTCACTGAACTGGAAGCCAGGCACCCTAACCTGTCACCACCAAAGTAGTAGGAAAAGGCCTTTGAGGGAGCCTCCTCAGAGCAATAAGCCTCCCTCTGTCAGTGTGTTAGAGAAAACCATGTGGGAAGCTTGGATTTAAACCCCCATCTGATGGTAACAATACCTGTTTGCCTTCCCTGCTGGAGTGGTTTCAGAGTAAACTCGAAAAAGTAGATTTAAATACAGTCCACAGTCTCATAATCTCCAATATGCCCAAGTTTCAGTTGAATGTCATTCATTCTAAGAAAAAGCAGATCCCAAATTAAAATGTAAAAAGACAATCAATAGATGGCCAAAACCAAGAAGACAAATATGTTAGAATTATCTGTTAAAAGATTTAAAACTGGGGCTGGAGTTGTGGCTCAGGGTATTGCGGCCTGCCTGCAATGTGTGGGGCACTGGGTTTGATCCTCMGTATCACATAAAATCAAATGAATAAAAGTATTATGTCCATCTACAAYGAAAAAAGTATTTAAAACTTATAACAGAAAAAATGTGTTAAGGAACTTGCTTGAARCAAGTGAAAATGTAGACAGCCTCAGTGAAGAAATAGAAGATATAAGGAAGAACCAAGTGGAAATTTTATTACTAAAATGTATAATAGAAAAAGAAATGAGAGAACAAACTGAAGACAAAAAACAAAATGGCAAACTTTAGTCCCAACATATCAATAATTACATGGAATATAAATTGTATACCAGTTAAAAGAGAAATTGGCAGAGCAGATTAAAAACATGACCTACCCTTATTCTGTCTACAAGATACATCAACTATTATAAGCAGTTTAAAGGTAAAATAATGGAAAAGGATACATGATGCAGGCATTAATCAAAGGAAAGAATAAATGACTGCATTAATATCAGGTAAAGTAAGTTTCAGAGCCATACAAAGATAATACCAAAAACAATTAAACTATCCTTCATGAATGTAGACGCAAAAATCYTTAACAGGGGGATTCAAGATGGCRGGCTAGATGAAGGCYGCATTCCTGTCACTCCATGACTCCAGATTCCAGCAACAGGAATACTATTTCTCTGTGAGGTGGTTAAAAGAGGGATTTCACTAAAATATTGGACAGTCAGCATGTCTTAGAGACTCAAAAATTTGGGTCCATTAAACAAAAAAGAAAGAGCACTTGGAGCCAAGCCAGTTGTGGTAACACTTTGGTAGGGGCACTGGTTCTGGTTCAGCACAGAGGGAGGGAGAACACAGAAACACAATGGAAAGATTTAGTATGAAAAAAATCTGACATCAAGAAAGCAACCCGTCCTTAGCTGATCTAGAGGGTACACTGCGCACTGGTGCCTGAAAAAGGCCCTCTGTTTCCCAGGTGGCCATGGAGAAACTGAGGCGGGAGCCATCCTGAGGTGAGGTGGCCATACTGCAGTTGCTGTCACAGGAGTTGGAAGATCTGAGCAAASAGGCTAGAACATCTTGGCAGGCTTTCGTATAGCCTAGGGTGTATCTAGCAGAATGGGAGCAAACAGAATATTTTACCCAGGAGTATTCAAGTCAGAAAAGTGAAGGCGAATCTGCTTAATTCCACCTTTGAGTCTGGTGGCTSRTGTTACCAGCTGAAGCAGGKTGGGAATCTGTAAAGAGTTGGGTGTAAATGCACTCGGGGACTAAGCCTAGAAAGTCTGTGTTCATGGTCAGCAGAGGGGGTGAAGGATTGACTCCCCCACCCCATGTGTAGAATCCTTGGGAAGAGATTGGYAACTGCCAGGCCCTAGAGGGGTGTTGATCTAATCTCTCCAGAGCAGACACCACCCACCAAAGCCCCTAATGCCTGATTAGACCTAAGCTCTCACCTGCTGGAACTCTACCCTCAGAATTCTGCAGACACTGGACCGTGGGAGTGCATCAGTTGTGTCTATGCAGAAAAATCTTCAACTAACAGCACTTCCCATCCCATCCTACCTCGTTTTGAAACCAGAGTTTAGAGATGAGACTCAATTCTTGCTTCTGTTGGTGGGTGGGATCTGCACAAGCYGCAGGATTCTACAGCAGAGAAGTGTTGCAGCTTTTAATGGTGGGCCAAGCCCTCTAATGTTGCAGCAGACCCAGCAGTTCACTGTCAATTTCTTCTTTCAGGCTTCTTGTGAATCCAAAGAATGAAATCCACAGAACAAGATGAGTGAATGTAAGAGCAGTACTTATTGAAGAAAAGAAACAAGAACAGAACTCTTGCAGTGCAAGAGGGGACCAGATAAGTTTTTCTCCCCCAGAGAATGCTAGCCTAAGGGTTTATATAGCATGTGGGTCATTGCTATTGGTCCAAACTTATGCTAATTAGGGTTTGGAAATGTTCTGACACTATTGGTCAATTCTCGAGTCCTATAGACTTCATTCAGCTCTGCTCCACTTCTATTTTCTGGCTGCTGATTAGGAAGCAGGAGGTTGAGGACGTCAGATGGTCTATGCTTGCAGGTTCTGGGCTGCAGCGCTGCATGGAGTATGCTGCTGAAGTAGGCATTTGTACCTGTGCCCAGTCCTGGCCACTGGAGGATGACAGGTTGGTATGCATTGATTGCTTTGATGCTGGCTTGTAGTCCCTCAGGCCCACTGCACCTGTATGGCTGGCTACATGCAGCTGAGGGCTGTATTTGCTGCCCACACTCTAACCCACTCAGACTGAG